ATTTATTTATACTGATGAAGATGGAAGAGTATTAATGGTGGAAATAATGGACAATAATATAAAAACACTCTTGATTGCAATCTATGCTCCGAATGATAAACAAGAAGAATTCTATAAAAAATTACATATGAAAATAATTGGACTGGACTATGCCAATACAGTTATGATGGGAGATTTTAATGGAATTGTGGACAATAAACTGGACTATACAGCAATAACAACAAAGCAAAACAGAAAGACTCTCCCTAAATCCTTTTTTAACATGATAGATGAATTAAATTTAAAAGATATATGGAGAGAAAGAAATGCTAAAACTAAACAATACACCTTCTACTCAAATAGACATTTATCATGGTCCAGAATAGATATGTTATGGATGTCAACAGAATTGTTAACTAATATTCAAGAAATAAATATTGAAACAAGTACTTGGGCAGATCACAATCCAATGACAATTAAATGGAAAGAATAAAGAAGAAGATCTAGATGGACGTTAAATAATACTATATTAAAGGAAAAAGACTTCACACAGTGGATGGAGAAAGAACTGGCTTTCTTCTTTTGAGAAAACAAAAAAGAAGATACATCAATCCAGAACGTATGGGATACAATGAAGGCATACGCTAGAGGCTTGATAATAGACTATACAAGGAAAAGAAATACCATGAAAAGATTAGCCTCTAAGGCATTAGAGGATGAGTATAAAGGACTCGAAAAAGAGCTACAGAAAATGCCACAGAAAAAGGATATTAAGTTAAAAATGGATATAATTAAACACAAAATGGGTCTAATAGAAAAAGAAGAATTAGCACAGAAAATCAGAGGTGCTAAACAGAACTACTTTGAAGATGCAAATAAACCAGGTAGATGGTTAGCATATAAATTGAGAAAGGAGAAAGAATCAAGGAAAATATTGCAATTAACAGATGACCAAGGCCAAGTTTGCTATGGTAGTAAAGAGAAGAAGGAAATCATACGAGACTATTTTGGGAAACTATACACACAAGAGAATATTGATGAGGAAAGAGTTAAACAGTATTTACAGAATGTTAATTTACCCCAGATACCTAAAGAGATTGAAATAATGTTAGAAAGCAATATAACGATGATGGAGTTAACTGAAGCACTCAAGAAGCAAAATGATGGAAAGGCACCAGGCCCAGATGGACTTCCGTGTAGAGTTGTAATTGCAGGAATGCTCTTATCTTGGATGGCAAACCTCAGATTAAGAATGTTTACAAGTAATTACAACTCAGGCAAACAAAGTCATTAATGTAAAGGAGGATTAGAGAGAGGAAGTAAATATATGTTAGACTTTAACTAGAGATAGTTAATTGTGTTAATTACTATGCTAAACAGTAATGAAGGTTAAGCAATAACTAAAGTTAACCAATGTTAGAGGATTACTAAAAATGTGTATAAATGCAAGACTAGACTCCAATAAAGTTCATCATGATTCATTTGATCATGATCAAACACCTCGACTGCCTCGTCATTACAACACTTCCGGCAGAATTTTATAAAACACTACAAGAATCGTTGAACCTTCCATTGCTAGAAGTTATGAATAAAGTTATGTTAAAGAAGAAGATACCTAAATCATGGTGAGAAGCTTATATTACACTTGTTGAGGCCGATCCATTACAAATCAAGAACTATAGACCTATTTCCTTACTAAACACAGATTATAAAATTTTTGCTTCAATATTGGCAGAAAGACTTAAAAAATACTTAAATAATTTTATCCATCCTGATCAAAATGGATTTCTGCCAAAGAGACAAATTAAAGACAATATGAGAGTAATCTTGGACACTTTGGAATACTACGAGGCACATCCTGAAAAACAAATGGCTTTGATATTTCTAGATGCACAGAAGGCATTTGATAATGTGAATTGGCGATTCATGTTATTACAGCTGGAACAGATGGGCTTTGCTAAAAAATTTATTCAAGCAATAGAAGCTATATATCATAAGCAAACGGCAAAGGTAATGATAGAGGGAGAATTCACAGATTTTATTAATATAAGAAAAGGTACAAGAGAAGGGTGCCCACTATCACCTCTGTTGTTTGTGTTAACCTTGGAAGTGCTAAACAGAAATATTAGAGAAGAAAAGGATATAAAAGGGATGAAAATTAAAAAGGAAGAATTTAAGCTGCAAGCATTCACAGATGACCTGGCCTTTATTTTGGAAGACCCACTAGAAACAGCATCAAAACTGATAGAAAAGATAGAGACATATGGAAAGGTGGCTGGTTTGAAAATAAATAAAGATAAGTCAAAGATTTTGACAAAGAATATGCTATCAAGACAAAAGGAAGAACTGGCAGATCTATTGAAAATTCAGGTCACAAATAAGATCAAGTACTTGGGGATACATTTGACAGCAAGATGCAGTACACTAAAAGAGAATAATTATATCAAACTTAAGCAGCAGATAGCGCTAGATTTGGCGAAATGGGAAAATTTACAACTGTCATTAATAGGGAGAATATCAACAAGCAAGATGAATATATTACCCCGGATTTTATATTTGTTCCAAACAATTCCAATTAGGCTGGGAAAAGATTACTTTGAAGATTTAAATAAAATTGTGTTGAAATATATATGGCAAGGTAAGAAAGCGAGAATAAAGTTAAAACTTTTGCAAGATGCCAGAATAAGAGGAGGATTTGGTTTGCCTAATTGGGAGTTGTATTACCAAGTGACAAATTTGATGTGGGTTAAGGAATGGATAGCATTAAGAAATATCTAGATTGTTGACATTAGAAGGACATGATCTGTTGTTGGGGTGGCATGCTTTTCTATGGTATAAAGGAACTAAAACACAGGGGTATTTTAGAAGACATTATATACGGGAGACTCTGTGGTTAAATTGGGAGCAGACTAAAAGACAATGTTATTTGAAAATATCCAGTCTGGCTATCGACTATTGAAGCATTTTCTTATCCTATAATATATAAAAAGGAACAAACAGTTAGATATGGTGAAATATTGAATGAAAAGGGTGAACTTAAATCTATGCAAGCGCTGGAAGAACAAGGTATAAAAATGAATTGGTTTTCATATGCACAAATACATTCAAGGTATGATAAAGACTCTAAAACAGGTTTCTACGATAAACTGACTGATTTAGATAAGATTTTGACAGGTACTGATGAAAAGGTGATCAAAAAATTATATAGATACTTATTAGAAATTAAACTAGAAGAAGAACAAGTTAAAGAAACAATGATTGCTTGGGGGAAGAATTTTGGTTATGGGATTGATCTAGAGAAATGGCAAAAATTGTGGTCTCAAAATTATAAAATGACAATGTCAACAGCATATAAAGAAAATTTGTATAAGATGTTTTACAGGTGGCATTTCCCCCCAACAAGAATAGCAAGAATGTTCAAGAACAAATCTGAAAAATGTTGGAAATGTCATCAGACACCTGGCACATATTACCATATGTGGTGGACTTGTGCGGATGCTAAAAAATATTGGACTAAAATCCGCATGTGGTTGGAAAAAGTGACAAAAAAGCATATAGATTTGAAACCAGAGATATTTTTATTGGGAATTTTACCTGAAATATATAGTAAAGAATTGAAATACCAGATTGTAAATGTATTAACAGCGGCTAGGATTGTATTTGCTAAAAACTGGAAAAATGAGAAAATACCATTACAGGAGGAAATCATTAAGAAAATATTGGAATGTGCTGAAATGAGTAGATTGACATTTGAAATCAGAGAACAAGATGATAAACAGTTTTATAAAATTTGGGATCTATTCCATCAATGGTTAGACAATAAAACATGGTAATAAAATATGTAGATTCTTAGAAAATAATAAATATATAAAGATGTAATGTTTTCTTATTATATCTACAAAATGATTGTAGGATAGATTTGAGATGATAATATGAACTGTCATAAAACAAATTAAGTAAAATATGATTATTTCGTGAAACATGAATGAATAAAAGTATAGTCAAATGATTGATTAACAATGATATTAATGTATTTAATGCTTGATTGAAAATATGAGAATATATACAATGTAATTGTAATTGAAGACTACGAAATGGAAGCACAAAACAATTTGTAAACCAACCAGCACACTGTATGTATATATATGCAAGATGGCTTGATGTTTTTCTGTTTTGTTTGTCTATGTTCGTCTTAAAAACCAATAAAAAAATTTTTTAATAAAAAAGAACTGAGGTTTGTGCACCAAAGGTATAGTTTACTGAAGCTCAAGTGAAATACAAAGAATCAAAACCAGAACTGAGGTTCGCTCGCCATAGTTTAACAGTAAAGCAAAGCCACAACAGAGGTTCGTACGCCAAAGATATAGCTTACTGAAGGTCAAGTGAAATACAGTAAAGGAAAGCCAGAATTGAGGTTTTCTCACCAAGGTATAGTTTAACAGTAAAGCAAAGTCTGAACATAGGTTGGCGTGGCAAAGGTTTACTTTACTGAAGGTCAAGTGAAATACAATAAAACAAAGCCAGAAACAAAGCCAGTTCTCGTGCCAAAAGTATAGTTTAACACTAAAGCAAAGCCAGAAAAGAGGTTCGCATGTTAAAGGTATAGTTTACTGAAGGTCAAGAGAAATACAATAAAGCAAAAACAGAACTGAAGCTTGCGCGCCAAAGGTATATTTTACTGAACATCAAGTGAAATACAATAAAACAAAGCCAGAACTGAGGTTCGCATACCAAAAGTATAGTTTAACAGTAAAGCAAAGCCAGAACAGAGGTTCACGCGCCAAATGTATAGTTTAACAATAAAGAAAAGCCAGAACGGAGGTTTGCGCACCAAAGGTATAGTTTAACAGTAAAGCAAAGCCAGAACACACGTTTGT